CTTCTATAGTTGTTTTATTAAAGAAATATTTGCTAAACACAAACACACAAACACACATACACAAACACACACACACACGCGCACACGCACGCACACACACACGTGTGTGGGCAGAACTCATTAACATGTATGAAAAAACACCTGTGAAATGCAAAATACTTAGTTCAAGCCACTGTTAGTCATTTAAATTAGTTATTTGTTTTAAATCTCTATAATTATAAAATTCATAATTTTCCTCAGCTTTATTTTGAACCATAGTTTGTAAAAATCAAGCAAGAAATAAGAAATTTATAAGCGTTTTTCATCAGGATGACGCCCCACAGTCTATTGACCTCCATTCATTTTGTTGAGGCTCCTCAATGCAGTACAGAGCTCCAGTGTGAGCACATCCATGTAGCTAGCAACATGCTAGCCACGCCCACTTCAGTAACATATATCAATGCAGGTGGCATCTGAAGGGTTAAAACTGTTCCCGTACCTTGAAGCTGCGCAGCGCCTCAACAACAGACGGAGCCAAATCGCTCTCCACCCAGCCTACAACAGCTCCGTCCAGAACCACGGGGTAGCAGTCCGAGAAGGCCTGGCAGGGGGATCCATCCATCGGGGTCACACCTGGAGCAGCACAGACACATTTAGACCCCCGGGCGGACTCTTTGGGTGGTCTTGTCTCTGGGTTTTGGGCTCACCGAGGGAACAGAGCAGAGCCGGCAGGGTTGTGGTGAGAGCCACGGCTGCCACGATCTCACAGCTGGCGGTCATGTGGTTCATGAGTCCACACGGCTCCCCGTCCGGAGTGTGGACCGGACACAGGAAGCCCCAGGACTCGGGCAGCAGCTTCCGGACCGAGGTGGTCCTCATCTTGGCGAAGGCGGCTCCTCGGTGCACGCAGCGGAAGTGCGACAGGTACCGGATGAAGTTCAGCTTGTCTGCGACGACAGAGAGACCGGTGCTCTGCAGCATCCCGAGACCTGCGGGAACCAGACTGTTAATATTCAGCTTTTAAAGACAGGATGGGGAGTCGGATCAAAGCTGAAAGAATCTGAACGCTAGCTAAAGCTAAAAGAATCTGAACGCTAGCTAAAGCTAAAACAATCTGAATGCTAGCTAAAGCTAAAACAATCTGAATGCTAGCTAAAGCTAAAAGAATCTGAACGCTAGCTAAAGCTAAAAGGACCTGAATGCTAGCTAAAGCTAAAACAATCTGAATGCTAGCTAAAGCTAAAATAATCTGAATGCTAGCTAAAGCTAAAAGAACCTGAATGCTAGCTAAAGCTAAAAGTATCAAAAGGCTTTCTAAAGGCTAAAATTGACAGAAGAAGACAGGAACTAAGCAGGTTTCCTGAGACAGGAAAATGTCTTTGAGACCAGAATCGGGCTCCTCGAGTCCGTACCGGTCTTGGAGTGGAGGTTCCCGGTGGCCAGCAGGTACTCAAAAGCTTTGGTCAGGTCTGAGCCCATGTTCAACATCTTGATCACTTTCTCTGTGCTCCAGGCGTCAGACAGTTTGGATCCTCGTTTTTCAAAGGACAGTTTCACCGACACCAACCAGGACGTCAGGCGTTCCTGCGTAAACGGGTCAGAAACAAAGAGCATGAGGAGGTCCAACATCAGCAGAAACATCTTTAAAACGTGCACCCAGGTGACCTCTGACCTTCATGAACATCAGGTACAGCTGACCAGGAGTGAGCACTTCATGACACATGATGCTGTCGGGGTTCTCCTCCATGCACTCCTGCTTGGCGAAGCTGAAAAGCTTCCGGGTCATGAGACAAAGCAGGTAGAACTTCTCCAAGTCCGACTTCAGGTGGATACAGACGCACTCGCTGCAGGAACACAAGTCTGATTAAAGGCGCAGCGAGTCATCAGAAATAAATTATTACAACGCTGAGAGCTGAGCTGCGTCAAGGTTGTCAAAGCTAAAACTAGCAGAATGCTAGCTAAAGCTAAATGAAAAAATACTAGCTAAAGCTAAAAGAAATCAGTACACTAACTAAAGTTAAACGAAAAAATACTAGCTAAAGCTAAAAGAAGCAGAATGCTAGCTAAAGCTAAAAGAAATCAGAACACTAGCTAAAGCTAAAAGAAGCATAACACTAACAAAATCTTAAAGTACTAAAATTGCTAGCTAAAACTAGCCCAATTTAGCTAAAAAAGTACAGCCTTGCTAAAAGTATGAAAAGCTAACCTGATACTAAAACCAGCAAAAGGCGAGCTAAAGGTATGTATTAGCTAAAAGTAGCAAAATGCTAGCAAAAAGATAAATGTAGTAAAACACTTGCAACAAGTAGCAAAAGATAAACAAATTGTAACACATAGCTAGGTAAAAGCTAAAAGCACCTAAAAGCTAATTAAAGCCAAAAGTATCAAAATGCTTTCTAACAGCTAAAGTTAGAAAAAGACCGCAACTAAGCTGGTTTCCTGAGACACGTTTGAAGGATCTTCATATATTTTCATGAGGAAAATAGTTTGAAAAGTTTAAAAAAATACAAAAGTCAAACACCACAGGACCAATCGGCTGAATGAGCCGAACATTTTGACATGAGAACAGCTACATCAGTGCAAAGCCTGTAGAGATAGTTGGATTGTAAAAAAACTGTAAATAAAACAAAGAGGCAGTGCTGACTCAGCGATAAAAACAAACATAGCTGAGCTTACTCCAGCAGGACGTTGGCGCACTCTTGGTTCGTGTACCACTCAGGCAGGTTCAGTTTGACCCTGAAGTGCTCGCCAAGGTAGTCCAGCACCTTGCTGCGGGTCGTGCAGCCTTCCTCTGCCACGACGCGCAGCATCTCGGACACGCAGGTCTTATAGAAGGAGTTGTCCTCACGGCCTTTGATCAGCTCCTGGTAGATCTGGAAGTCTGTGAAGTCCACAAGGGCCTGAGGACCACCGAACAGAAACACTCTGAACAATAAGATCCGGTTTTCCATCCCGGCGTTCGTGAAGTCTGACTGGTACCTTCAGGGCGAAGCCTAATGGGAGGAAGAAGAGCTCCTTCTGGTAGATGAAGTTCACCATCACCATCCCGTTCTCCAGGTAGTGGAGGTTCATGTTGATGGCCGTGTGCTCCTCCTTCACGCAGCGGATGGACACGCCGTACTGCGTGTAGCCCTGACCCCGGCTTCTCCACTTGGGCCTGGACACGGCGATGGGGTAGTTCCTGCGGGGCATGATCAGCATCCGGATGACCTTCTCGATCCCGTTCACGATGAAGTAACCGCCCATTTCCTGTGGAGGTGAAGAAGTTGGTTGAGCAACAGAACGTTCTGAGCGATCGGCTCGGTCTGAGGGTCAATCGTTGACCTCGGCCTCCTCGTGATGCCTGACCAGCTCTGTGGGGGACATGCCATGCAGGTTGCACAGCCTGGACTTCACCATGACAGGCAGCTGGCCCAGGTACTGCTTGATGATGCCTTTAGGGACCCCGTTGATGGACCAGCTGATGTCGGCCTGAAATGACATCACAACCTGTTGTGTTTGCCTCGTTACTCATGAATTATTTCTTCCTGGGAATAAACCAATGATTCTTACCACCAGCTTTCCCCGGTAAGTACATCTTCTTCCTCGACACTCTGCCGGGAACACCTTCATCTCGGTGCAGACGCTGCCCTTCCCGACCGCCGGGCTCTGGATGGTTGCATCCACAAATGAGAGGCTCACCTTGTCGGTTTTACACATGAACTCTAAAGGAGGGATGGCCTGGAAACACCACACAATAAACCAATCACAACAAGCCAATCACAGCAAACCAATCACAACAAGTCAATCACAGCAAACCAATCAACCAATCACAACAAGCCAATCGCAACAAACCAATCACAACAAGCCAATCGCAACAAACCAATCACAACAAGCCAATCGCAACAANCAACAAGCCAATCGCAACAAACCAATCACAACAAGCCAATCGCAACAAGCCAATCACAACAAACCAATTACAACAAGCCAATCGCAACAAACCAATCAACCGATCACAACTAACCAATCGCAACAACCGATTACAACAAACCAATCGCAACAAACCAATCAACCGATCACAACAAACCAATCAAATGATCACAACAAACCAATCAAACGATCACAACAAACCAATCAACCAATCGCAACAAACCAATCAACCAATCGCAACAAACCAATCAACCAATCACAACAAATCAATCGCAACAAACCAATCAACCGATCACAACAAACCAACCGCAACAAACCAATCAACCGATCACAACAAACCGATCACAACAAACCAATCAAACGATCACAACAATCAACCAATCGCAACAAACCAATCAACCAATCACAACAAACCAATCGCAACAAACCAATCAACCGATCACAACAAACCAATCACAACAAACCAATCAAACGATCACAACAAACAAATCGCAACAAAACAATCAACCAATCACAACAAACCAATTGCAACATACATGTAGCTAGTTTGTTTTTCAGCTATTTTCCCTCATTGTAAAGTGAATCTTCAACATCCTTAAAACCTTTCAAAATATTTTAATTTTTACTCTTCTTTTGTTCTGGTTCAGCTTTTTTTTTTATTCATGTTAATTTCAGTTTCCTTCAGCTTCTCTCTTTTGGCTAATTTTAGCTTTTCCTACTTTCTTTCTGCCTCTTTTAGCTGTTCTTCTGTTCAATTAAAAAAATGTGCTATTTTCAGCAGTTTTCTACCTTTTTAGCTACCGGTACTTTTCATCTAAATTAGGCTTTTTTTATTTATTTTTTATTTTTATTTTTACTATTTCAGCGTCTCTGTGGTTAGCATTATAAAGGGATACAAAAGGTTTATTAAACCATTTTTCACTTTTAAAATTCCTTCTGACAATTTTAGCTGCTTTTTTCTAGTATTTCAGCTATATCTCTGACTCTGTTATTCTGCTAATTTTTACTTCTTTATGCTTCTTTCTTCTAATTTGTGGTATTTCTCACAGTTGTTTTCTGCTTTATTCAGAAATTTTAGCTTTGAGATTTTTTTTAGCTATTTCAGCTGTATTGTAGCTTTTCAGCTTACATTACAACTTTCCTACATGTATTACTTATATTAATACTTTTGCTATTAAACATTTTCAGCTCAGTTTCAGCAGCTTTCAGCTTAAGTTTTCAGCAACAGCAAATATGCTCTTTTTGCTTCTTTGTGCTAATTTCATCTTTCTTATCTGCGTTTTAGCTATTATTATGCAAGGTTGCTTTAGCTGTTTCACAACAGATTGCAGCTGTTTGTTCTTTTGTTTTTACTGCTCATTTGAAAAACTGTACTCTCCTTTCACAATCTGTCTGATCATTTCAACTTGTTTCTGCTACTTTTAGAATCCTTTAGCTAGTTTCAGCTTTGCTGAGCATTTTCAGCTACTTTTCTACTAATTTCATCAGTTTGTGCTCAATCCAATTCTTTCAACTTCAACTGAATCATTTTTAAAGACACTGAGCTAAAGTCTGGCTTAATAGTAACAGAATAATCCTCACAACAGCTGAAAGCTAATTAGCATGCTAGTTTTATGTGTTTTAAACTTTTTTGATAAGTATTTTCTGCTCGTTTTAGCTACATTTAGGTTTTGTTTAGCAGAGATCATAAGTTTTAAATCATGTCTGCAGCCCTGCTTCGTGTCTCTGAGCAGTTTCTTTAAACTGTCATGATTAGAAAACATAAAGCTCTTGTTCTTAAAGCTTTTGGTTATCTTTGATTTTTATTACAACTTGAGCTTATTAAACTTCTCTTTATCAAATATTATTATGACAACATTCAGTCTGTTGGCTTCCTGTWTGATTTTTGAGATGTTAAGGTTGTTTTAAAGCTTTTAAAGTGAAAACAAGTCAAATAACTGGATTTATTTTCTGTGTGTTTTGAACACATCAACCCGAATAACTAAAAACTTTACAGATTTTAATGTTTCTCGGTTCGGTGCAAACACCGGACTGACCTGCACGACCCGGCTGAGCCCGTCAGTCACCGCCTGGTCGAAGGACTCGAGGTGGGCTCTGGTCAGGTCCTGGATCGCGGGGTCCTGGTTCTCGTTTAGTTTACCGAACTCCCCGTCTGTCAGGTTCTTCAGGCTCGGTTCTGCAGGTAAACTGCTCCACTTCGCTGAAAGCTCCGTCATGTTTGCTGTGCTGCCGGGGCTCGCGTGGGGCTTGTTTACCGCATGGATATGCTGACACCGGAAGTACTTTCCTCTGGGACCGGAAGCGAGGTCTTCTTCGTGGCTGTAGTTTCTGTTGCTGCTTTAGCGCCACATTGTGAAGTGGGTTAAATTTATTTAATCGATTTATTTAAACTAAAAAGTTGTCCATTCATTCATTAAATTATTAATTCGTTTATTCCGCTGTTATTCGGATTACGTCAGCCTAAAGGGGGAGGATGACACGTGACCGGGCGGAGGGAGTTAATGGAGGTTTGTTGTTTTTGCCACAGATATAAAGAAAATACAAATACTTCTTTAGTACAGGCCTTTTATGAATGAATGAATGAATGAATGAATGAATGAATGAATGAATGAATGAATGAATGAATGAATGAATGAATTTATTTCTTAGGACAGTGTGCAATTAAAAGATAAACATAAAAACATTTGATGCATTGTTGCACCAGATTTAGCCTAAGGCTAATTTACATCTGTAGTCCTCCAGATAATAAAAACAAAACAACATCCAACAGTAATAAAAATAAGAAAACAAAGCAACAGAAAAATAAAAATAATATAAAATAAAATATTTT